CACCTGTGGCTCAGAAGGGTAGGGCACCGGCCCCATATGCTGGAGGTGGTGGGTTCAAACCCAGCCCCGGCCAAAAACTGCAAAAATAAAATAAAAATAAAAATAACAGCATTATTATTAAAAAATAATACAAGAATTACTTAGATACCAAGATGTGTTTTATTTTCCTTAATTTTTAAATGTTTCTTCTTCTGGCTTTTTTCTTTTAATAAATTTTATTTTAGAGTAATTTTAGATTTATAGAAAAGATGCAATGATAATACAGAAAGTTCCTGTATACCCTTCACCCAGTTTTCACTAATGTTAAGATTTTATTTGCTGGCTCGGTGCCTATGGCTCAAGTGGCTAAGGCACCAGCCAAATACACCTAAGGTGGCGGGTTTGAATCCAGCCCAGGCCCGCCAAACAACAATGATGGCTGCAACCAAAAAAAAATAGCCAGGTGTTGTGGTGGGCGCCTGTGGTCCCAGCTACTTGGGAGGCAGAGGCAGGAGACGCCCTTGAGCCCAGGAGTTGGAAGTTGCTGTGAGTTGTGATGCCACAGCACTCTACCCAGGGCAACAGCTTGAAGCTCTGTCTCAAAAAAAAGATTTTATTTGCTAAAACTAAGAAATTGACATTGGTGCAGTACTATTAACTAAACTCCAGAAAGCTCTTCAGATTGCATTAGTTTTTCCACTGTCCTTCTTTCTGTTGCTGGCACCATCTAAGGTACCACAGTACATTTAGTAAGCCCAGTTTTCTTTGACCATTATTCCCCCTAGTTTTTTAATATAAATTTAAAAATAACCCAGTTTGTTTCAAACTCTAATTCAAATTTCATTTTATCTGAGAAGTTTTCTGCCTAATTAAATTTCATATAATGCCGATTTATTATGTATAGGTATTTCAGTTTATAAAATACAAGTACTTATAAGTGGCTGATATCAAACAGAAAACTTGTGGGGGGGTTTGATTGTTTCTTTATTTTAATTATTTATTAGGACCAGTTTCTGAATCAGCTATTTAGTGGCAGATTTAGATCTAGAACCCACATTTTGTGACTGCCAGTTCTTTTGACCTGTATTTCCTTTGTACTATTCTGTCTCTCCTACATAAAGTTTCTAGTCTTTTAATCTTATGATAGACTGTGTTGTGTAACGAACAGTGAAAATCAGTATTGTAAAGTATAATTACAAAATAAAAAGACACGTCTCAATATCTAATTACTTCATTGAACCTTTTTAATGGCCTTTTCCCCCTTGTCATTTCCCTTCTGTCCTTATTCCTCTATACCATTGGTTTGCAGCTTTAGCTATGTATATTTATAATGACCTGGGAAGTTTTTTTAAAAGCAGCTTTATCGAGGTATAATTCACATATCATACATTTCACTCAGTTATAGTGAAATTCAGTAGCTTTTAGTATCTTCAGAGTTGTGCAACCCCTATTGCACAGTTTCCAGAAAAAACTGTGTATCCATTACTATTCGCACCCTATTCTCTACCATTACCCTGATTCTTACTCTAGCCTTAGCAGTGAACTATTTTTTGTCTCTATAGACAACTCGCCAATTCTAGACATTTCATATAAATGGAGTCTTATATGGCATTTTATTACTGTCTTCTTTCACTTTGTGTAATGTTTTCAAGGGTCATCCATATTGTGACTTTTTATTGTCAAGTAATATTCCATTATATGGATACATGGAATTTTATTTTTTTACATTTTGGTGGTTTTCACTTTGGGGCTATTATTTTGAATAATACTGCTATGAATACTGAATGCAGTATACATTTTTGTGTGGACATGTGTCTTCATTTCTCTTGGGTATATACCTAGGAGAGAAATTGCTGAGTCTTACAATAGCTCCATGTTTAATTTATTTTTTATTTTTTTATTTTAATCTTTTTTTCCATGTTTAATATTTTAAGGAACTGTCAAACTGTTTTTCAAAGAGGCTGCACGGCTCGGCGCCTGTGGCTAAGGCATCAGCCACATACACCTAAGGTGGTGGGTTCAAATCCAGCCC